GTGCTTTCTATAGAACATCTTGAGCTAGCGATAGATGTGCTTTCTATAGAACAGCTTGAGCTAGCGATAGATGTGCTTTCTATAGAACAGCTTAAGCTAGCGATAGATGTGCTTTCTATAGAACAGCTTGAGCTAGCGATAGATGTGCTTTCTATAGAACAACTTGAGCTAGCGAGCGATAGATGTGCTTTCTATAGAACAGCTTGAGCTAGCGAGCGATAGATGTGCTTTCTATAGAACAGCTTGAGCTAGCGAGCGATAGATGTGCTTTGTATAGAACAGCTTGAGCTAGCGAGCGATAGATGTGCTTTCTATAGAACAGCTTGAGCTAGCGAGCGATAGATGTGCTTTCTATAGAACAGCTTGAGCTAGCGATAGATGTGCTTTCTATAGAACAGCTTGAGCTAGCGATAGATGTGCTTTCTATAGAACAGCTTTAGCTAGCGATAGATGTGCTTTCTATAGAACAGCTTTAGCTAGCGATAGATGTGCTTTCTATAGAACAGCTTTAGCTAGCGATAGATGAGCTTTCTATAGAACAGCTTAAGCTAGTGATAGATGAGCTTTCTATAGAACAGCTTAAGCTAGTAATAGATGAGCTTTCTTCAGGTCAATTTAAGCTTTCCCGAGCTATACTTTGATAGTTAATCTCTTGCTTACTCAAGCCAAGCTCAAGCTTTTTTTCGAAGTAATTTTGCTTTTATAGCTTTAAAGTTAAGTTAAAGGAATTTTACTAATTCATATTTTTTGTCATCCACTGTTTACTAATCTCGCCCGCCTTCAAAATTCTTCTCCTTACTTTTCAGATATTATAATGGAAAACAACGAACTGTTTGTTACATGCTATGGCCGGATGGTCGTTATCCCACATCTATATTAGATTATTGGTAAATATTTACACATTTTCCACAATCATTTAAAAACACCTACAAACACTTGTTTTACTTATAACACAACTAACACACTTCCGTTTAATCTGTAATTCTTCCCTCAAGCTATAACATCATAATACTGGTCATAACATATGGCATACCAATGGTTGTAATGTTAATCTGTTATTCTCTTATGGGACGTGTATTATGGGGCAGTCGTTCGATTGGTGAAACCACTGAACGACAAATGGAATCAATGAAATCAAAACGAAAAGTCGTTCGCATGTTTATAGCGATTGTTTCAATATTTGCGATATGTTGGTTGCCCTATCATTTGTTCTTTATCTATGCATATCACAATAATCAGGTGACATCGGCGAAATACGTGCAACATATGTATTTGGGTTTCTACTGGTTAGCTATGTCGAATGCCATGGTGAATCCCATTATCTATTATTGGATGAACAAAAGGTAGGAATTTCTTTAAATTGAAATGTGTATTATTTTTATGGATATAAAGTTAATATTCTTTACTTTTACAGATTTCGTTTATATTTTCAAAAAATCATATGTTGTTGTTGGCATAAGTCGTCTAGTAAATTGAATTCACCACGCAGCCGTTTGACTTTAAATAAAAATTCATCGAATAATTTAACAAGAGGTAAGTGTTGAGTAAATATTTAAAAATAAAGATACTTTCTATAGGTAGCGACTGAAAATTTTCCATAGAGTAGTTAGTTGAGCTTTCTATAGAACAGTTTGAGCTAGCAATAGATGAGCTTTCTATAGAACAGCTTGAGCTAGCAATAGATGAGCTTTCTATATAAAAGCTTGAACTAGCAATAGATGACCTTTCTATAGAACAACTTGACCTAGCGATAGATGAGCTGTCTATAGAACAGCTTGAGCTAGCGATAGAAGTGCCTTCTATAGAACAGCTTGAGGTAGCAATAGATGAGCTTTCTATAGAACAGCTTGAGCTAGAAATAGATGAGCTTTCTATAGAACAGCTTGAGCTAGCAATAGATGAGTTTTCTATAGAACAGCTTGAGCCAGCGATAGATGAGCTTTCTATAGAATAGCTTGAACTAGCAATAGATGAGCTTCCTAAGAAACAGCTTGAGCTAGCGATAGATGAGCTTTCTATAGAACAGCTTGAGCTAGCGATAGATGAGCTTTCTATAGAACAGCTTGAGCTAGCGATAGATGAGCTTTCTATAGAACAGCTTGAGCTAGCGATAGATGAGCTTTCTATAGAACAGCTTGAGCTAGCGATAGATGAGCTTTCTATAGAACAGCTTGAGCTAGCGATAGATGAGCTTTCTATAGAACAGCTTGAGCTAGCGATAGATGAGCTTTCTATAGAACAGCTTTGAGCTAACGATAGATGAGTTTTCTATAGAACAGCTTAAGTCAGTGATAGATAAGCTTTCCATAGAGTGATTGAATAGATTGAGTTAGTGATAGAAAAGCTTTCTATAGAACAGCTTGTGATAGTGGTAAATAAGCTTTCTATTGAATAGCTTGAAATAGCTTTAGATTAATTTCACTTTTTGAAAGCTTTTTGGAATTGTTTCAATAATTTTTACCATTTTCTCCCAATGTTTTTTCGCAGTTGAACGCAAACCCTATTGGAAACGCAGCACGATCGAAACACAAATACAAGTGGCAAACTCTTCATTGCGTGACCGACAGTCCAATCATTTGGGCACCATCTGTAATCTTATACGACACGATAGTGCACCCGAAAAACAGCGAACGGACAGTGAAGGTTCACCTTTATGCATATCCATACACAATGGCATCGAAAGGCAAAAGGTTAAAATCAAATTATATCATGTGATGAAGACAATAATCCCATAGAATCATAAATATTTTTTTTTTAAATAAATTTGATTTTTTCTTTTCCCCTTAGAAAAGAACCAAATTCCTGTTGTAACTAAGTAAAATGTAAATTGTATAGTTTAAATTTTAAATAACATTAAAAAAATAAATTGTTGTAATAAAATTACATCGAAAATACAATTTTCTACAAAAAAATAACTATAAAAACATTTAAGGTTTCTGTAACATTTTATTCTACTATATTGTCAGCAAAAAAGAAAATCTATAAAAATTTTTGGAAAAAACAAACGAACAAATTTAGTTATTAAATTGTAAAGTGTAGGTGTGTTTGTATTATTTTTTTTTAACAATATATTTACTTAATTATAAACAAATATACAAACACACACACATTATTAGTATTACTATTGAGTAGTTATATAAATTGTATAAAAAATAAATATTTTTCTTACTTAGTAATTTTATTAGAATGAATTTAAGAGTTAAATTGAAATTATTCAATTATTTTATGTAAATAGAGTGTTTTTTTTTTTTTTTTTTTGTTCATTTATGTTTAAATATTAAGGTTTGTGTTTCTAAAACAATGAATAAAAAGGTAATTTAATGAATATATTGTAAATATTTACTAAATATACAATTTTCATGTATAGACAAATAAATAATTATTAAATAAAAGAACAAACATATTTTTCAGAAAAAAAAAAACAAATTTTTGCATCGTCATTATGGAATGATTGAGCTTTAGGACAACTTGAGTAGGTGATGGATGAGCTTTCTATAGACCAGCGAGATATAGTTCAATAAAACAGTTTCTGTAGCGATTGATAACCTCTATACAGTGAGCTTTCTAAAAGAAATGCCTGATTTAGCGATAAAAACCGGATAAGCATCAGTTTGAGCTATCGATGAGCTTTCTATAGAATAGCTTGAACTACCGATAGATGGCCTTTCCGTCGAATAGCTAGTTTTAGCGATAGATGAGCTTTCTATAGAATAGCTTGATACAGCAATAGATAAGCTTTCTACAGAACAGCTTGCTCTAGCGATAGAAGAACTTTCTTTAGAACAGCTTGAGCTAGAGATAGATGAATTTTCTTCAGAACAGCTTGAGCTAGTGATAGGTGATCTTTCTTTAGAAGATCGTTAGATGACCTTTCTGTAGAACAGCTTTATCTAGCAATAGATGAGCCTTCTATAGAATAGATTAATCTAGCAACAGATGAGCTTTCTATAGAACAACTTGAGCTAGCGATAGACGAACTTTCTTTAGATCAATTTGAGCTAGCGAAAGATGAGCTTTCTTTAGAAGAGCTTGAACTAGCGATGGGTGAGTTTGCTTTAGATCAGTTTGAACTACCGAAAGATGAGCTTTCTTTAGATCAGTTTGAGCTAGCAAAATACGAGCTTTCTTTCGAAGAGCTTGAGCTAGCGATAGATGAGCTTTCTTTAGAACAGTTTGAGCTAAAGTTAGATGAGCTTTCTAAAGATGAGCTTTTATAAAAATGCTTGAACTAGCGATAGATATAAAGTACACGAATCATACTGTGATTCATATTTGTCCATTGTTGAGGTGCCGAATTGCCCATTATTAATTTCCAAAAATTTCGGACATAATCTCAACTGGTTTCCTAGACATAAATTACATTTTTAGTTTTGATACCTTGGCCTCAAAACTTATAGACGGTCCTCCAGTAGATCTATTATTGGCAGTATTAGCTTTTTTATCGAATCTAAAAGCGTGATCTCAGATCTTCTGGGGTAAAGAAGACTGCCACTTCATAAGATGATTTACGCCTTTGCCAAATTTTAGCTAATTTCACAACTATGTTGGCAATGCGATCAACAAAACTTATTCGATTCACAAACCTTAATGTGTAATTGTGAATCAATTTTAGCCAATTTCAACACCTTTGTGATAATACCAATCAAAATAGTGTAATATTGTGAATTTTCACTATGAAACTCACTCACCTTTCTGATAATACAGTGCAATATTAATTGGTTTTATAGATTGTATAAGAAATGTATTATTAAACGGTATTATCACATAGAAGCTTCAATATTAAAGTGCAATGTAAGGGTTTTCAAACTGTATCATTGAAGTTTATTTTCTTCGAATATTTCGTTATGTTAACAAACAAAATATTACCTTATGTAAATTTGCCTTGGCTTAAGTTATGCGAATGTTAGGCTTAAAAATAACAGCTGATGACAACAGCGCACCTAGTTGCATTCCTTTGGTTTTGGCAACGTCACCAGCTGGCGTAAAACAGGTATGGGCAAACCTCTGTTTAAACCTGAGCAACTATAAATCCCAATTTCGTTTTTCTCAGTTAAAGCAAAACATCAAAAAAACAAAAATTAATTGGAATTTTTATAAAAACCTAATTTCTCTACTATTCTTTAAATAGAAACGAATTTTATCACAAAAATAAACAAAATTTACGAAAGTTAACTTTCTTTTAAATGTCCCAAGGTCAGTAGTAAAGCAAACTAATTATTTTATGGTATTTTTAAGAGAAAATCTTCAGCTTCTAGGACTGCTGCCACCAGCAACAATGTGCCGTCAAGTAGTATCAATTCAGCTGGAAGTGTCAGTGATTTTGAAGCTGCCATAGCGGCTTGTGGTTTTGGTTGTTTCAATATTTGTCTGCTAATTGTTGCAATGTCACCTCTAATTTCGGCCATATTCTCAACATCAACATTGTCCTTTATATTGCCTACAGCCGAATGTGATTTACATTTGAATTTGATGCAAAAAGGTGTTTTGAATGCAATGTGTTTTGCGGGTAAGTTGAGGTGAAAGAAAAGGATGTTTTGTAAGGAGGTGATTGAAAAAGTAGCAACATTTTCAATCAATAAACAAAATTTTGTTTCAAATCACCAACTATTTAACAAAGTAGCCTTTTCCAACTAAACTAATTAAACATAGCCTTTAAATGCCCACTAACTAACCACAACACATGTGATTCATTCAAAAGGCATGATTGTTTCAGCCATACCCTGGGGCTATATAGCTGACACCATGGGGCGCAAAATGGTATTAGTATATGCTCTGCTCTTGGATGGTGTAATTGTCATTTGTACTGGCATCAGTCAGACTGTAAATCAACTTTTAATTTTTAAATTTTTCGATGGCTTTTTGTAAGTAGAGAAAACAAATCAACAAATCCCAATAATTAACGAGTAAACAACAAACTTTTACTTAAACACAGAGTTTGTGGCCCCTTTGCTGTGGTCATGTCGTATATTTCCGAATTTCATGGTCTAAAACATCGTTCACGCATTATGATGGGTATGGGCATGATAAAGGCAGCTGCTACTGTTATATTGCCCATTTTAGCTTGCACACTGCTGCCTTACCACTTCACTTTGGAAATGTGGTTTATAAAATGTAAGTAAAGGGTGATTTTTCTGTTAATGTTATGCAAATTTTATTTTTAAGTGTACACTTGGCATTTCTTCATACTTATTACTGCTGTTGTACCTTTACTTGGTGGCTTTTTAAATTCATTTTTTCCCGAGAGTCCTAAATTTCTTATGTCTCAAGGTCGCAATGATGAAGCTTTGGAATGTTTGCGCTTGGTTTATGCCATAAATAAGAGGAGGCCAAAGATTGAATATCCGGTATGTAAACAAAAAACAATATTAACAGAAATTAGAATTTAAGATTTCATCGACAACAGATTTTTATAAAAAAAAGTAAGAATGTAAGGTCTTTGTGTTTTAGGTGGTCTCCGGTAGGTTTGTGGTTAATGTTCTAGTCTGGTAGACCGGAAGTGGTGGGAGGCACTGGACAATAAACGCACAATATGTTCATTGAATCAACAACCAATTTCATTCCATCAATAAAATAGTTTCACAGTAGAAACTGCAAACAAATTCATAAAACTAATGAAACATTCTTCATTAATGCAACGAATTGCTATGTTAGCTCGTAAAAAATAAAAATTTTCATTGATCATGAATTCGTGAATTTTATGCCTAGAATGCAGCTATTTCTCTTAGTATTTCTGAAGGCATAGAAATATCGGACAGACTTATAACCCTACAAAAATTGCGGATATTCGTATAAAAAGTAGTCCATAAAAGATTAGGATTAGTAGCAAACTAGCCCAATTACAAATATGTATAAAGACCACGGACCATAATAGATCTAAGCCCCATTATATGGAGGATTCCCATAGTTCAGAAATCACGCTGTTATTCGCAAATCTCGTATTAATAACGATATCTATATATATAAAATGAATGTGTTGTTTGTATGTTTGTATGTTTGAACGTTATAGACTACTAAACGGCTGAACCGATTTTCTTGAAATTTTCACAGCATATTCCTGCATGTCTGGAATAGGTAATAGGATACTTTTTATTTCGAAATTTCAAGTGGGCGATGAGCCACGCCCACATTAAGAAAATATAAAATCTGTATATTTTAGATAATATAACAGTTAGAGTCCTCAAATTTTGTCGGAGCCACTTTAGTGTCAATATGATCATTTAGGACAAAAAGTAGGCGGACTAGCATTAGGGGGCGTGGTACCT